GAAAAAAAAATGTATTCTGAATGTATCAACATGCGTTTACCACGATTTGAAGTAGTGAAAGAAATTGTTGTGGAGGCAGTCATCTTTGGTTGATAAAATCGATCAAATGAATGAGGAATATAAATGGTTATAACTATTCACAGCACCTACGAGCGTTTATATAGCATCAAAAGAAGAATATAATAGACAACTATGTCTAAAGGACTGGAATAAAAACAGTCGAAAACGTTCGTTGTGAAATGTCCTCGATCAAAACATCCTTTGTTTTCCTCCTTAAATATGTACTTATATACACAAGGACAACGGTATACGGACAAAAGTGAGGACATTTTCAAATAGACATTCTTGACTACTACCAAGAGAATGTGCAAGAATTTTTGCCTATAGAAACATGTCTATCCTGATTATTCATCGTCAAATATGAACACAACTGTTTCTTATCAATAAAATTTCTTGCAGTTACTAATTGAAAATTGACTTTTCGCTGTACACCTTTTCGCATTCGTACTTTTCGCAATCGCATATTTTCGCAAATAGTTAATTTCGCTGATGTGGTTTTCTCTGTTTTTTTTTCGCGGAAAACCACTTTCGCTGCAAAGTCTTTCGCTGAAATGCCACCATACCGAATGAACCAGAGAAAAATACAAATAGCCACGTGGTTAACTAAAAGTGCAGTGAAATAAAGCTAAAGAAAAAAAATACAATTCTATGGACAGTACCGACTAATCTTATAAATAGAAATGTGCACATTTGAATTCAATTCCAAAATGTCCTCGCCCGATTTAACAACCGTCCAAACGGATAATAACGAAGTGCGCTATTTTGAAGAATTGGAAAACCATATTAAATCAATGAGTCTTAAATTTCAAGAAAAGAGTGTTATTAAACAATGTACTTATAACGATATTATTAAATGTTTATTGTCACCAAAGGGTAGTCTACCAGACTTATGCACTTCGAAATTCAGTCATTGGGCCAAACGTCATTTCGTATTAGACAAGATCGCTGGTGTTGATATTGCTTGCTGTGCTAAATAAAAAAAAACCGTTTGTACTTATAATAATTATTACCGCATCATCAATGTAGCACATGATACGATCTCTCATGGAGGTCGTGGTAAAACGATCCATGAGCTTAATTCTCATCATTCTTGGATACCACGATTTGCTGTTGAATTATTTTTGAAACAATGTATTGTATGTCAAACACGTCAGTCACTTAAAAAGCCTGCAATTACCCAAATTATTATTTCGATTGGAGTAATGACCAGATTACAGATCGATTTAATCGATATGAGGACGCGTCCGGATATATTAAATGAAAATACTGTTTATAACTGGATATTGAATTGCATTGACCATTTTAGTAAATTCACTTGGTGTTTTCCTTTACAAAATAAAAGTGCTACTGAGGTAGCATCAAAATTACGTGAATTATTCTGCATGTTCGGTGCACCACGTTTACTTCATAGCGACAATGGCCGCGAGTTCGTAGCCGATGTTATATTTGAACTTAAAATACTTTTTCCCGATATGCTTTTTATTCGTGGTAGACCACGTCATCCACAATCACAAGGCTGTATTGAAAGAGCGAATGGTGTGTTGACTAGTGCTCTTGGAAAGTGGATGGCTGTGAATAATTCTTCTCATTGGTCTGATGGTTTGTTGCCTGTTGCCTATGGTATTAATACAAGATTATCGATTGTTACTAAAACTACACCATATCAATTTATGTTTGGACAAGAGCCTCGTTCACATTCAGAATATTGGAAAATCGTGCACGAAAGTGGAATTTCAAATGAAGAAAGCTTACCAACATCAGTTGCGAGTGCGAAGACTGATGTTGTAAATGATACCATGGATGAGATTTGTAACACTACAGCAGCTGCAATCGATAATCGTGACGATTTTATGGATATTGATATTATTCAACTTGTTCAACGATTATCTGATCAAGTTGTTACACGTGTCTTGATTGATCAACCAATTCTAGATCCATCCACAGTTGATCAA